AGCACGCCCTGAAAGACCTTCCTGGTTAGATGGCTTATGGTCAGATGAGACGTGCGAGTCTCCCAATTTTTCTGCTTTGCAACAATGAGCGGAGTCGAAGCTTGTGCCCATATTTGGCTTACCCAACATGTTCTGTTGCTTGAGCTTCTTAATACGATAGCAGTAACTAGTTCAGGTATGAACGAAAACACTTCCAACGATCCAGTCCATTAAACCATTTGGCTATCGGTGGTGATGCTCCTTGCAGCCATGCTAGCTAATTAAAGGCAGATTTTACGATGAAAAGTAGCTCATTGGAAATAAGGGTAGAGGTGGTCAGTGGAGCAGGGATGAAGAAGAAACCATGTGAAACGGCCCAGAACCCGAGAAATGGGACCCCTTCCTTGCCCGTTGATTTCCGCATTGATGCGACTCTCATCGTTGTGCCCTCTTCAACGCTACGCTCTCTCTGCTATCTAATCACTCGCCACGTATAGACCTGCGGCGAGTGATTAGATAGTCGGTGGGCGTTCCGCGCCAACGCGCCAAAGGGAAGGCCATGCTAGATCGCCGGGGCATATCCTTCGATGCGAATTGCGTGTTGGTCCGCACCCTTAGGGGTCCGCCTGTCTCTCCACTAGGTGAAGTTTCCCCTTCTTCGACCTTCGTCTTGTCGTGGAATCCTCCTTTAAAAATGGGCCTATTCCGCTGAACGAGCGAGGAAGTGACGACAGTCTTCGATCAGGGTTAGTCGAGCAATTCAGCAGATATTGCCGTTTAACTCTCCACCTCATACACCTTTTCACCACCTGACGGGGTTTTTGATACGAGTTGATGGTTACTAAGAGAGAAGAGGAAGTAGCAAGAGGCGCTTTTCAAGGACAGCGCGGGGGTCGTGCTGATACCCAGTTTTTTCTCCAACACATTGGTCAACTATGCTCTGAGTGGAACTGTGAGCTATAGCGCAGAATGTTTTGTGAAGTGAAGCGCTGCATATTCGCACACCATCAACTTGTATGTGCATGAAGGCACACTCGAGAAATAAAACTTTTTATATGCGGAAATTCATCCCAAATAGATATCTATTCCATTCTCTTTTATAAATATCCTTTTTCAGCTCTTGATCAAATTGGCAGAACAAGCGCGAGGGTTCCAAAGCGAACAAAGCCAGGCTAAGAAGAAGCGTCGGCCTTCCTCCATCGAGGAACCAAAGGAAAAGTCGGGGAAGTCAAAACATCGATCAGAAAGCAAGGAGAAGGAGAAGAAGAAAGAGGAATCAAAGGAGGAGAAGCCGAAAAAGCGAACAAAGACAAAGGTATGTGCAACGTGCTGATATGAGACAAAGCATTAAGACAGGGCCAGTTCGCTCGGGTTGTGCCGTGCACTCGACTTCCACTCAAAATAGATGAAAAGAT